TTTTTTCTCTCTCTCTCTCTCTCTCTCTCTCTCTCTCTCTCTCTCTCTCTCTCTCTTTCTCTCTCTCTACTTCTCCCGGCGAGGACCGGTCGACGGCGCGACTGCCTAGAAGAAAAATAAATCTAATTCCAGACTTACCACGCCGACGGCTTCTAACGCAAATAACGTCGTTCCAAAATAGAGGGAAAAATTTCGCAATGTACCGAACATCTCCCTCTCGCTGATCGGCGGTAGTCCGTCAAACATATACACTAGTGTCATGGCGAGACCGACGAACGTGATAAGGTTCGCCAGCGTGGAAAACGGCGCCAGTAACTTCAGATTTCTAATGTAGTTTATCAAAATCAGCGGAAGCAATAAAATGAGCATATGGGTCGAAATATCCAAAGGATCCCCGTACTGGTCTGCCACCTGCGTCCATTAATAAAATCATCATGAATTCGCTGTGTTCCCTGAACGCGCCGTGTCGAGACGCGATTTTGTTCAAACACCGTGTGCGTGTGTGTGTGTGTATGTGTGTGTGTATGTGCACGGAAAAAAAAGATTCGCTAATGGACAACTAAAAATGTTAACTGCAGGAACAAATTTTCTTGCTTTCATAGCAAAGTTATTTAGTTGTGATACACGCAGAAAAATTTCAATTGGTGTAAAGAAATAGAAATCAACTGAAAGTTAAGTAATCAAAAGCGATATCTCTGTTATGAAAACTAATATTTCGATTGTCGCAACCGAAAATATTCGTCTGAACATTCAACGATATTAGAACTCAGTTGAGGTAACTCAGTTGTTAACTGAGAACAATTGACTATACAGAAGTCTCATAAAGGAATTTTTCTGTTCCTACAGCCGAGTTTTCATCTGATCCCTGAGCAACCAAAAATTCGGTTGCACTAACAAAATTGTTTTTTCCGTGTAGTTAAAAGATTTGCTAATATATATATTAGCAAATCTTTTAGCTGTCACAACTAAATAACTTTGCTATGAAAGCAAGAAAATTTGCTCCTGCACTTAACATTTTTAGTTGTCCATATATCAGCAAATTTTTTTTTTCCGTGTGTGTGTCTCAAAAATTAATATCGGTCACGGCAAAGCGCGTATTTTTTAATCTTTTTTTGTCTCTCTTTCTGTTTCTCTTTCTCTCTCTCTTTCTCTCTCGCGTACAGCGTGCGACTACGAAATGCTCGATGTTTTAGGTTTCCTCTAATTTGTGAATCTTTCTATGACAATTGTGATTGATTTACCTGTTTTATATTTGTTGCTACAAATACGATATAAACGCAGCAAATTCCCAATTGATAGATTATCATAAACCCGTCTACGAGTCCTCTGGAAACAACAGCATTTTTAAGATCGTGCTCATGACTTACGTACGGACTCGTGCATGTCTCCGTAATGGAAAAATTGGATGAGGCAATTATGATAAGGTGGACGAGAGGTGTTGTCCAGTGCGTTCGTTTTACATATGTGAACGTAATATTCTAAGGGGGTCTCCTTCTACGTTAGAACTGTCTTTCTCTCCAACTGTTTCTGTCGTGTCGCAATCATCGTATCTTCTGTATGAACGCAGTGGCAGAACGACGTTCATGCTTCAAATATACGTCTCTAATACATCCAATACATTGATCGACGATGCCAAAAGAGCCGCGTCGATGTGGCTGAGCCACGTCGACAGCCAGCAGCGACGTCGATAGTTGTAGAACAAAAGGAGAAAGAATCGACAGGAAGTACTTACGGTGCGTAGGGCGCAAACCAGCTCACGCATCGAGGACCTAGCTCGAGCGCGTATTTCATGCTGTGCGGATAACTCAGTATAGGAACCCTCAATCGCTTGCACAGCTTGTACTGCGCCTTGACCAGTACGTGCAAGCAGTAGGTGCACAGCGCGCCTATGATAATCGTGGCTATCACGCCCACCAGGAGGCCGCTATTGCAAAATGCATTCGGCATCGCTAATATCCCCGTGCCCAAGCTACCCTTCAGCAAATGAATCAGGGTCTCGGCGTTCCTGCAAGAGAGTAGTGTACGTGAAACAGTGTTCTCGTACCTCGAGAGAGGTATCACGCACGGAGAAAAATAATTTTGCTCTTTTAGCAAAATCGTCGTTGCTACTGCATATTAGTAGTGACATGAAAAAAATTTAGTTGACGTAAATAATTTTACAAATTATTCGTCATCAGAGCAGAAGTAGTTTCGTTGCCAGGATAGAAAAAATTTGTTGAGTGTATTTGTCCTAAGAATTATGTTAATTGACGTAAAATAATGTATCCTTAACGAATTTATTTGCTATCGGAGGAAAACTGCCACTGCACTGCTAATATATATATTAGCAAATCTTTTAGCTATCGCAACTAAATAACTTTGCTATGAAAGCAAGAAAATTTGCTCCTGCAGTTAATAATTTTAGTTGTCCATATATTAGCAAATCTTTTAGCTATCGCAACTAAATAACTTTGCTATGAAAGCAAGAAAATTTGCTCCTGCAGTTAATAATTTTAGTTGTCCATATATTAGCAAATCTTTTAGCTATCGCAACTAAATAACTTTGCTATGAAAGCAAGAAAATTTGCTCCTGCAGTTAATAATTTTAGTTGTCCATATATTAGCAAATCTTTTTTTTCCGCGTGCTTATATAAATCCATCATGGTTTTTATAGCAAAATAATTTATAGATTCAGCAAATTATATCCAGTAAATAGTGATTAATACTCTTAGCAAATCTTTTTTTTCCGCGTGCTTATATAAATCCATCATGGTTTTTATAGCAAAATAATTTATAGATTCAGCAAATTATATCCAGTAAATAGTGATTAATACTCTTAGCAAATCTTTTTTTTCCGCGTGCTTATATAAATCCATCATGGTTTTTATAGCAAAATAATTTATAGATTCAGCAAATTATATCCAGTAAATAGTGATTAATACTCTTAGCAAATCTTTTTGCTGTCCATATAATAACGAAAAGATTTTGCTAGACCAGTAGAAAATTTCTTGAGCCAGCAAATTACTTTTATCCGTGCGATATCCTTCTCGTCGGTGGCGATCGTACACGGAAAAAAATAATTTTGCTCTTTTAGCAAAATTGTCGTTGCTACTGCATATTAGTAGTGACATGAAAAAAATTTAGTTGACGTAAATAATTTTACAAATTATTCGTTATCAGAGCAGAAGTAGTTTCGTTGCCAGGATAGAAAAAATTTGTTGAGTGTATTTGTCCTAAGAATGACGTTAATTCGCTATTGATGCAAAATAATGTATCCTTAGAAAATTTATTTGCTATCCGAGCAAAACTGCAACTGCTTATATATATCCATCATGGTTCTTGTAGCAAAATAATTTCTAGATTCAGCAAATTATATCCAGCAAATAGTGATTAGTATTCTTAGCAAATCTTTTGGCTATCCGTATAATAACGAAAAGATTTTGCTAGATCAACAGAAAATTTGCTGGACCAGCAAATTATTTTTCTCCGTGTAGGAATTAAATTTAACTTAGATGACTGTAAACTTAACTTATGGTATACAGTTAAATTAAGTACACAGAAAGACAATTCATGACACATCCATTGTGTATACACTAAGTTACTTTAAAATCAACAAATATTTCTTTGATGGATGACATTAACATATTTATTTAAATCTAAATTCTTTTTACTTAAACCAAATATTGTTTATTTAAATCGGATAAACAATATTTGATTTAAATAAAGAGAATTTAGATTTAAGTAAATATGTTAATGGCACCCATCAAAGAAATATTTGTTGATTTTAAGGTAATTTTTCCCTCAGTGTAGGTAGAACTCATGAAACTAAACACAAAATTCCTCTACCATTTCGCAAACAACCACATAAAATGTTGAATTGTTAATTAAAGAAGATTGATGAATGTAATCACGCGCGATACGGTGGATGAGCTGCGATAATAACATCTGCCGTTGTGCGTGCTTAAGTTAAACTGAACAAAAAAGTTCTCTATCATTTTGCAAAAAATTACATAAATCTTTAGTTATTAATTAATGAAGTTTGGTACATTATCACGTATAATCATGCGCTAATATTTTTCAGTTCGATAAATTCTATCTGCACCCAACGATGTGTCATAAATTGTCAGAAATCCTGCACGGAAAAAAAAGATTTGCTAATATATGGACAACTAAAAATATTAACTGCAGGAGCAAATTTTCTTGCTTTTGCAGTAAAAGTTATTTAGTTGTGATAGCTAAAAGATTTGCTAATATATGGACAACTAAAAATATTAACTGCAGGAGCAAATTTTCTTGCTTTCATAGTGAAAGTTATTTAGTTGTGTTATTTAGTTTGCTAATATATTAGCAAATCTTTTAGCTATCACAACTAAATAACTTTTACTGCAAAAGCAAGAAAATTTGCTCCTGCAGTTATATGTTTTTAGTTGTTCATATATTAGCAAATCTTTTTTTCCGTGTGTATATAATAGCGTTATATGTGTAGGATGGTTATCATAGGTCGAATTCTTGTCGATTGGAAAGTTTCAAGAATGTCTCAGAGTTATGATAATTTGACACTTGGTTTTCGCTGATGACTCAGTTTACGAAGAATTCATTCACGGCCGTTCCGTTTGACAACGCGAACGATCTGCATACTCACGAAGTGGGATTCGGCCGGTTACGGTGCTTGTGAGGATCATAATCTTCCGTGTCCGCGGTCGGGGATAATACAACTTCCGTATTATTTACCACGCTCGCTACGATCTCACTGTTTTCCCTGCGAATCATGCAAATTGTCAATCAGATAACATCCATATGGAGAGAAACTTAGATTTTTCTTAAATTCGTATATTTATCGCGGGGGAATATAATTCCCGATATCGACTTCATCGAGTAATCAGTCTTGCAGAATTAAAGCGTACTTGAAAGGGCTCTGCGAAGCGATCAGCTGCATATTAATGCTCTCCTCCTTCGAGTTCTCCATGGTAGCCGCGGGTTCCTCTTATGTGTCACTGGAAACAGTTTCGTACGTTCGGTTCAAATGCGTAATTCATCGAATAAGAGGATCAACGAGAGTCTAACAAATCTCCGTGATTATTACAGAATCACAGACCGAGACGATATAATAATAACGTAAAGTTTGTACCAGATTACGGGAGATTGACGTTTGCGAATTGATGATTGAAACTCGATCAGTCAGGACAAATCGTCTCAAAATTCATTGATACGTCGAATCGTGATCTCTAGTCTGCTCATCCTCAATTCCCAACACCTAGCCTGATACGGGCTTAACGATCAAAGGCATCGATTTAGCCTCTGCTCGCGATCGCTTATTACCAGCGCGGATTAAGAGACGCGTCGTCACGCAAAGACGCGCAAGAATCGACCCACATCGACGAGGCGGCCCGGTACATTAAACCTTTAATCAATTGACGGATGTGGAGCAATGCAATAAAGCAAAAATGTCAATTCACTGTCGTGAATCTGCGGTGTGCGTACGCACCGTCGTCGCGGCTTTGGCGCATTCCTTATGAACTGATTGCTCTTAATTATTACATTGAGGTCAAATGCAACTTGAGGTTAACTTTTACTGAAGGTTGCAGCCGGTATCCCCGCGACGTTTACCGTCTTTAACTGTTTTGCGTTGTCGCAAGCGAGCGAGCGAGCCGATTGATCTCAAATTCGCGCGCGAGGGCAAAGTCTATTCTCGTGCGGATGCAAATCCGCGTGCGGACGCGCCGCCGTACTTTTCCGATATCTAAGAGACAGGACGAAACCAGGCCAACCCCGCGGGATGATCTCCAACGGAACTGATCGCGTCGTCACGCAATCAAGAGTCTCGCACTCGCAGAGAGTTCTCCCGCGTTCGTGAGAACAATTCGCGATGACATAATAAAAAAGGGGCGAAATCTCGGCTCTCGATGTGCAAAGTTGAGTTTAATTTTGCACCGGGAAAATGCCTGTGCTTGAAGGTCACGGTCGCGATGGAAATATACGGAGAAAACGACGGATAGCATCGTAATGATCCAATTAACGCCCCGAGTCGGAGCTACTCTCCGCGTTTCCGCGTCGAGGTGTCCGCGATTCTTCGATCCGGTGTGATGTCGCGTGCCAGTCAAACGACAGAGACCCACCTGTTACGATCTTAATCGGCTCTCAGCAATCGCCGGGGCATAGGTCGTGTGATTCCCTTCGTTTGCGGTGCCTCACGTCTACAACGAAAGCATTTGTACACTGAGAACGAAATACTTGAGAATTTATTTGTGTGGGATGTAAAGTGGCTTTTTTCTCACAGAAATAAAGTTTATATACTTCACATAAGTGAACTTCGTCCCACAGAAATAATCAGAATATTCCACAGGTAAAATGACAGTAAACTCTCAGGTGTTTTCCTCCCAGTGTTGAGATATTAGACAACGCCAAGCGAATTAACATTGCGATTACCTTACGACAATATTGCAGTAGCGATTTGAAGCACACACATATACACACATACAGCATAAGTCGCGGCAACAATCAGTCGTGACGGGCAAAACCTCGATGTAATTTGGGAAACACGGCAGAACAGAACAAAGCGAGACCGTCGCCTGTTCCGTCAGCGCTAGGAGAGGAATATTCGCGCAAGTGAATTTTAATCACGCTTGGGTTAGGGTTTCACCATTACAATCGATCTCCTAATTCTTACTTCCTCGACGCGTATCGGGGGGACACGCGCGCGGCGAACCCGTGTCAGCCTCGCACTTGGAACAATATGGGACTGGAATATACCCCACGCGAGTTCCACTAATTTTAGGCAGTAGGGTCGTGTCCACTCCACTCTGCCAACGGGGACTGCTCTGACAGGTGTTATGCTATTTCAGAGGTAGCGACAGAGACACGGACACCGAAATAAACGAACCCTACGACGCTATAAATGAGCAGGAAACTGCGTTTGCGCGTTATTCATAACAGCTTATTATTACCGTTATTTTACGGTTGTTATTTACGATCGTCCGCATTATTCTCCGTGGGACGACGTTTGATTCTCATTTGGATATACTGATATAGAACAGCCAACAAAAGATATAATCTCATTCTTAGCGGAATTCTCTTGCGTGTGTGTATATTGGCCGCAGAAAAGAATTCTTCTGAAATTAAAAGAAAAATATTCTAATATCTAGAAAAAAATTTCTACACCAAGAGAAAAAATCTAAAAAATCAAAAATATTTATTTGATACGGGCACTGATAACATATTTACTCAAATTAAATTTAATGATAAATTAAATAATAATTTAAATTTAAATTTAATAATTTAATGATAAATTAAATTTAATGATAAATTCTTTCATTTAGATAGAATAAACAATTGTCTTCGTGAAAAGCTAACGTCTCAAGAAAATGTATATTTTCTTATTCCAAAAGTATTTCATGTTAGTAAATTATTAGTACTCTCTCAACAATAAATATCTTTCTCTGATGTTTCTTCTCACAGTTTGCCAGTTTGCACTGGTTGCAAGGTGCTGTTTCCTGCAATTCCACATTTTTTTACCAGAAAAGTATTTTTCTTCTAGCAAAAAGAAATAATATTGTGTTTAGAATATCTTCTTTTTGACTTTCGAAGAATCCTCTCGAGAGGCTACATATAAAAGGATTCTGCTGATGGGATTATATCTTTTCGGGTGAAAATATTTTTTTGGTAGCGCGAGTGCACATATAAAGGGAGTCGTTAATGTCGCGCGGATCGAAAGTAAATCGCACGTTTCAAGGGCGATTTTATGAGCGTGTCGCGCGACGGATAACGCACAAGAGATCGCGCGCATGGCAAATTGGCAGGCGCGATATGATCGGCGTATTAATGAAACATTGCATTCCTTCACTATGAATAACTTGTGACAAAGTGGCAAATCGGATAATGCGTCTTCGCGACGGAGGAAATCCGGTGAGACGGAAAGCGTCGGGACAGTTTCGCCGTTTTGAAAGTCGTCGCGCGTGCGACGCGAAATTCACGCGCGGGATTCGCAGTTTCGATCGGCCGCCCTCCAAATGATACGCATTATTAACGGCGCGATAACTGCACAGCCGTTACGAGAGGCCGCAGTCAGTCAGTACTCTTCCATCCGTTCAATCGTTCAATTTGTTGAATTCTGTCCAGCCGATTAATATATCCTCCGATCCGTCATATTATTCGTTGGACCAACAGCAGATAATCCTGCGTTGTGTGACGGATTTCTCTTTTGCTCTTAATATTAAATTATACAAGTACAAATTATGCAATATAATTGGAGAATGCGACTGTTAGGTATCTTTTAATTACAGCTAAAGTCGGCGACTAGTAACAAATCGTCGTGCTAAGTTGGACTGTTCTTAAAAACATATATAGGCGGTATAAATAATTTTGGCTCTTCGAAGTATCTGAAACATAGAAACCAAAATTTTTCTTATTCAGGAGAAGTGTGACTATCATCTAAATCAGAATCAAATCAATATTATTATTCTGAACAAAATAGCGGTTTTTTCATTTAAAAATGTTAGTTTTTGCTCAAAGTGTTATTGATGTTACATAAAAAAAAACCAATGAATGTATAATGTTTGTTTTAGTTTAGATGACTATAACTACACTTTTCCTGAATAGGAAAATTTGTTGCTTCTGCGTTTCAGATATCTAACTGAGTTATAATCACTTACATCGTCTATATGCGCTTTTCTTTTACGAGGTCCTAATAACCAGGATGTAACATACAAAAGAGAAATACTTTTGTCACTTAGACAATGGAAAACATTTTTAAAGTAAGAAAATATTTTTTAAAATATTTTTTAAAAATAAGACTTAAAGAATACTTAAAGTTTGATGTTATTAGATACTTTCGTTTTTCTATCGGAAAAGTACCTTTCTTTGCGAATTTCCAAAGCAAAATATTCCCTTAATAGCAGCTGTAAATTGCATACGATATGTCAACATTGTCGTCACCTTTTCTTTTTACTTGTTAGCGCGCGAATATTTTAAAGGGGAACACGGCTAAACCGTCGTTCCATTGAAAGAAGAAACGCGCAGAGCGAATGACGCACGGATGCGACGGACGCAAAACGATGACGGGGTCTTTTTGCACAACTAGAAAATCTGTCACTGCCATTTACGGGTTTAACCGGTCGCTAATGTAACGCGATATCAATTGAATCGGATAAACGGTTCAACTATTGCGCAACGGGGCTCCTCCATCGATCTTAATGGCGGTCACTTCGTCGCACATAACGTTGAGCAAAAGGTTCATTTCATTAGAGCTCTGAGACAAATTCGCTGAGACGCGCGGCGCGCGCTTCAGTGACACCACTCGGCCGTTCTTATCGCTGGCTGGTGATTGAATTTAATTAACAGACGATCAGGCGACTCGTGCGACACGTCTGTGCACTTTTCCCATGAGAGAGTCGCGAAAAAAATGCGGGACAAGCGCGCGTAAGACTCGAATCCGCCGAGCGAGGATGAGGTTGTCAAAACGTGGAAGAGGACAATCGCGAGAGAGAGAGAGAGAGAGAGAAAAAAGAAAGAGACGCTCGACTGTAGCCAGGATTAACCAACGCGCGACAGCTTCGTCCGGCTGGTGACACGTTAGATAACCAAGGGGACTAATGTTGCAACAATAGCCGATCGTTGACCACATTATCGGCGATAATAGGTGGCCATTGGTGCGACGCTCGCAGCAGAATCGCGGGGCTGTCGAGCGAGCTTGAAAGCGCTCATAGACTCCGTCTAGACCATCCGGCCGTGCTGATATTCCCACCGGATGAAATCGCCCGAAGGAGTTGTCAAGGAGAGCGACCGACACATAAATACACGCGCGCGTGTTCGCCAAATTAATCGACAGATTAATACCTGCCGGGAGATCCGTCGGCGGCGGATAATCTACCTTGTCTACCTTGTCTATCTTGACTCCGGTTCCGGTAGGAGACGGGGAGTACTTGGCTATTTCCTGTTCGTACCTGATGGAGCTCGGTGGTAATTCGACTTACCGGATGATGCGTATCCGCGAGTGGACGACGAGGACGGCGAGGAGGAGAACGAAAACGACAACGACGACTTCCGCAACCCCCGAACGTAACCCGATCCTGCGGACGACGGCGCGACTACCCAGTTGGCGTTAATGCGTCGGCGACCGAGGATGTCTAGCGACTACTGCCCCGCACCACTTCAATTTCTACTGTGGTGTACGCATTCAGCATAGCTCGTCACGTGATGCAGCCAGTTAAAACGGCTTCTCCTCGTAAACGCACGCCAGCGGAGAGAGATTTAGGCAGAGCGCTCGGAGAGCGCGACGACGAGTGCCGCGTCGAGAGTGCCCGTGCACGTCCTCCGTGTATCCGGTTCAGCATCGCGGACACCTGGCCACGCGAGGGCTCGCGTGAACGAAATGATAGGAAGAAAAAAAGGACGCGAATCGCACGAGGTGTCGATCGATCTCGCGTCGACCCGCGATGTCGCGAATCGCGGTGTGTCCTCTCAGCAGAACTTCGTCACTCAATAAGCGACTCCGAATCAATATGAAACAATGATACCAATGTGCCACCCTCCTACCGATAATGAATATGCAAAATAACACAAATATAGCGCAACAGATCTGTAACAGATAAAATGTCAAAGAAGAATTAGATACTCTGGGATGCCGGAAAGAACGTATTGTCATCCAAAGGCGCGCATGTCGACGTCATAACGCGATAAACTGCCCAGGATCAAGGATGCGTTCCGTGTGCGTGTGCGTATGTATGACAGAACTTGGTCACGTGTGACCATGTAGCGTACGAGCGTGAAGATTCATGCGACCACGTGGTACGCCGAAGTTCAATAACTTCCACGCGCTCTGTTGAGAAGCGCTTTCCTCCGCACATCATTTCTTTTAAGAGGATAAGAGCGATATTTTTGAGCGGCCTCCGTCAGCCTCCTTGCAGAAATAAAGAGACACCTAATAATTCGCGTTCCTCGTTCATTTCCACGGGCACACATACATACATACACATAATGTCGACATTCATCTCGCGCTTGGCGCGGAGTTCTCGGTCGCGAGACTGCGTTACATAAGCGCGCCGACAAACGAACACAGCTTCCTTTCTGCCGAGATATATTTCGCGGTTAACGCACCGAAATTTCTCGCGCGTGTCGAAAATACAGGCAAAAGAGAATGCTGGCTCGTAAAACACGTGGCACGTGGCTCGTAAAATTAGAGCACAGTCGCTCGTCGCCAATTGACAGCTGACGGTTTAGATAAAGTGTTCAGTACAGAGAGACATTGTAGCAAAATTCGTGAAGATATTTGGCTTTCACGGCCGCGTTCGTTCCTGCGAATGTTTAGTCACGTGTACATGCATATATAGTTGGCAAATCCGTATCAGTGTTTTATTATGTCAATGTCAATTTAATGGACTGCGCTCTATATGACCGAAGTGATCGATCTGCTTTTCTATCTCGGTGGTACGGGAAGAGTCTAACCCGCGGTAAAACTTTGTCAAATTCCAAGTCCGAGGGAGTCTCTTTCTCTCTCTCTCTCTCTCTCTCTCTGTCGCAGTAAGTTTCAAATTGACGTCAGAACCACGCGTCTCAGTGTCTCGTACTTCAGAGAAAGCGAAAGTTGCCCAAGTCATACGAAAAACTTTCGGCAGAGTTTGGATTCCTGCCGGAGTGAATTCCTCGCGGAATTCGGCGGACTCACAAATCGTAACTAACTCAGAATTTCAAGTACGGACCGGCAGGATTGAGTAGAAGGCTTCAAGAAAGGAGAACGGTATTACGTAATGCTGACGTATCGGCGCCGATGCACGTTCCCCTTACGTACCTCGTCGAAGTGATCTTGATGGTAGAGGAACACATGCGTGACGTGACTTTTTAAACATAACATAAATATACACTTTATTCTTCCACACCGTAGCAAGAGGGAAGAGGGTAGCGAAAAGTACTTCCTTCCCTGTCAAAGTCTTCCACGAAACCTCTCACCCTCTCGAACGAAGAGGAGCCATCAACAACACTCGGCGACGAGAATAATCGCGGATACCGATTTTTATGTAAACGTTATCCCGAATACGAAAAGCAGCTCGAAGTAATCACTCTCGAAATAAACTGTCGAGAGTAAGTAAGAAGCCGATCTCTAATTTAAACACGTGTTAAGCGGAATTCACATTTTGACAGAAGGGCAGAAGCCAACTCGCGCTGGTAATTGACAGTTTCTGCTTTCCTACCAGTTCTGATTGGCTTCCTTTCCGCAACAAGAAGTGTGAATTCTCTCTCAGACCCGCACAGACGTTAACGCATCAGCCGCGAGCAACCCTATACGCAACTTACTACTCGAGCTCAGCCGTACGTCGTAGCTCGCACGAGGGAGACACTTCATCACAGAGTTACAGGCTGTGCACCGGGCTGTAAGCGAGGGTTTTGCGAGACGCGACGCACAAGTTCGCACGGGGTGGATAAGTGTGTGCAGCCCTCGCGACGACCGCAAGCTGCGCGTTCGGCCGCGTCGGCCGACACCCACCGTGCCTTCCTCCACTGACCGCGAGAATTAAGGACGGATACCTTCCGGGTCACGCCGGCTAGGGTAACTACCCTTCGCGCGATCCATACGATAATGATCCTCAGCGACGTCTGGCGGAGGGTGAAGGCGATCCAACGCTTCACCGTCATGTCAGGCTTGCGCTGTGAACGAGACTGCCGGTGGGGGAGGAAGTAGGTCCGCGATAATCGACCGACCGAAGAGAGAGATAAATAGGTAGGTACGCGGAGAAAGGAAGAGAGAGAGAGAGAAACGCGAGATTTCGCGGAAAATTGAAGTATTGCGAAGGAGAGCTTTCCTCGCGCGATCTGGTGTCTTTCTTTATTATTTAATTGATCTCGAGAAGTCTAGAGTGAGCACGCCGCCCCTTTATTCTGCCCTCCTTTGTCGAGGTTTCACGTTCACTAATAATTTAAGAAATCTCCCCGGACTTTGATGTAGCGCGCGCTACGTTCGATATTTGATTGAGGACGACTACGTTTCCCTTGCGAACGAATGGTCGCAAGGGTGAACGACATGCCTGTGAAAAGGAAGAAGGATTTCCCAAGTGCACGATTATCCTCGATGGCGTGATCTCGTCCACTTAAAAAGCCATCCCGTAAATGTTCCCCTGTCCCTAGAAAGAGAACCCCGTGCCCGTGTAACGCGAGGATATAATCAATATTGATGGTCTGAAAGATTAGAAAGACGTGGATAACACGGTGGTATTGATGAATGCGCACGCTTCGGGACAACCGTGTGTTGTCGAGAAAATATTGATTCGTTCTAACGCGACGTACGATCAGTCGCATGCTCCTCAAAATTTTATTTATATATATAATATGATTTTTCCTCCGAGCGTTAATGGAACTCACGATGCGGGAATGTAAATTTAAAAGAGAAACGATAGCTGCGCGTAACAACGCGCAGTTTGATCAATGCGGTCGTCTGTCAATATTGGCTACAATTGATTACAATGTCCTTTGATGATTATAATTGTTATGTATAAAATCACAAGTAATTAAACTTCTCACGGTAATTAAATTACTCACGATTACACATATGACGATTGATTATCGTTGATGATTGATTTGCCGATTGTTTTAGTGTGAGAGAATTTTCATCGATCAATTTTTATCGGCCGGATCACTCTCTGGACGATCACAGGGATGACAAGAGAGAAAGAAACAAACAGGACACAGTATGAAAATAAATTTACTTTTATTTCTATACAACGAAGCCTTTCTTACATACCGGTTGCACCAAACACACGTGTCTCGGATCCCGTCGCGTCATAACAGTCCACCTCCACGCACTCTTGTGTATGAACGCACGTAAAACCGCAAAAGTGCACTTAGGAACTTCATCTCTTCCTCGACGAGTCGCGATTGAAGTGCGTGCGCGCGTGTCTACGAAGGTGTATGTGTGTGTGTATGTGGGTGTGTGTATGTGTGCGCGTGTATGCGTGACACATCGGCGTGCCGTACAACGAAGTTAACGTTATTTCGGTCGCACGGCTAAAGCCTCTAAATGCGCGCTTTATTTTTAGGTACCGCTTATTCTTAGCGAATGTTGAACTTTAAACTACGTATCACATTGTCACCGTTCGTTTAATGCCCGTATCTACCAACGTCGATTAGACTTTAATCCGAGTTCAAATTCTCTACTCAGGCGAAGACTTCAACGCAGCTTAAGGTTTAATCGACATCGGTGGAGACGTGCACAACACGGAGAACGACTTCTCTCCAGCATCTTCCCTCCGCCGCGCAGTGTGCCGAGAAGATTTGGTGGACAAAATTCTGCCTACATCACAAATCTGCGTCGATTTTGGTGAAACTTTTTTTAAAATACTCGTGAATAGTTCTACTATAATGTCTCACTGCCAAAGATTTGAAAAAAGTAAACATAACTCCAAAAAATAACCCCAAACTCCATTACTTACCCTTAATTACCTCAAACTTTATAACACCATATTAGATTTGGTTTCCGGGTTTGAGCCACGTGGATTCATTTTTGTTTGATTCCGACGTTTCGCGAATATTTCAGCCCGCTTCATCAGGGAGGAACGACCCGGTGCTTAATACCGATTCATAAAACCATGGTCCGAAACTCCATCATTCCAAATCTTATAGTCCAATAACTCCTAAATCTGATTACCTACGAATTAAAAATCCCATAATCCTAAGCCCCAAACTCCATAGCCTCATAACGGGATTATGAAGTTTAGGATTATGGGGTTTTTAACTCGTGGGTAATCAGATTTAGGAGTTATTGGACTATAAGATTTGGAATAATGGAGTTTCAAACCATGATGTTATGAAGTTTGAGGTAATTATGGGTAACAGGTAATGGAGTTTGGGGTTACTTTTTTAAAATTTTTGGCAGTGAGATATTATATTATTGGGAGTGTGCATTAATTTTAAAGGATTTTCAAGAGATGGCGTAACTAGTACTATATCGTATCGGGCCATATTGTTGCTACCTTCATATCAAAACACCATCATGTGGCTTTAGTTTTCAGTGCGTGTCATTTTGCCGAAGTGTAAACAACATTGTTTTTTTGAGCATTGAATATGTCGAATTTTGTGCCAACAAAACGCAATTTGCGGGAAGCTTTGCTTTTTTGCTTCCATTTGAAGAAAAGTACTGCTGAAAGTCAACGAATGCTGTCGGAAGCTTATAGTGATTATACTCCATCGATTTCAACATGTAAGTACTGGTTTCAACGCTATAAAAAAGGTGATTTTGACACGGATGATAAGGAACGTCCAGGCCAGCCGAAAAAGTTTGAAGATGTGGAAGTGGAAGCTTTACTCGATCAAGACTCGAGTCAAATGCAAGAAGAACTTGCAGAATCATTAAATGTTGATCGATCAATGATTTCCAGACGTTTGAAGGCCATTGGAATGATTCAAAAGCAAGGAAATTGAGTGCCGTACGAGTTGAAGCCGAGGGACGTCGAAAGGCGCAAAATGACCTGTGAATTGTTGCTTCAAAGACACAGAAGAAAAAGTTTTTTGCATCGTATCGTGACGGATGATAAAAATGGATACGCTACGGTAATCTGAAGCGCAAAAAATCATGGTGCAGGCCAGGCGAACCATCAACATCGACGGTAAAGCCGAATATTCACGGTGCCAAGCTCATGCTCTGTATTTAGTGAAATTAGCTGGGTGTAATGTATTATAAACTGCTCCAACCCAACGAAACCAGCACTAGGGAACGCTACCAACAACAATTGATACAATTGAACCGAACATTGAAGCAAAAACGGCCAAGTTACGCGAAAAGACACGACAAAGTGATTTTCCAGCACGACAACGTTAGGCCACATGTTGCGAAACCGGTCAAGGAAACGTTAGAAGCGCTTAACTGGGATGTCCTACCACACCCGCTGTATTTTCCAGATATTGCTCCTTCCGATTACCACCTATTTCGATCGATAACTCATGGCCTGTCTGAGCAGCGCTTCCATTCTTATGAGGATACTAAAAAATGAGTCGATTCGTGGATAGCCTCAAAAGATCTGTCGTTCTTTCGATGTGAAATCCATCTATTACCAGAAAGATGAGAAAAAGTAGTGGCTAGCGATGGACAATATTTTGAATGATCAATTTGTAATCATTTTTTCACAATAAAGCCGTATTTTTACCAAAAAATCCCTTAAAATTAATGCATACTCCCAATAGAACTATTCACGAGTATTTTACAAAAAATTTCATCAAAATCGATGCAGATTTGTGATGTAGGCAGAATTTTGTCCACCAAATGTGCTTTTTGGCACACAATGCGCCGTCGCGATTGCAATGTTACTGCACGGTCCTTCACAAATCGCCGTTGCACTACGAGAATTTGTTCACAATGCCGCGGATACTCGTGTAAGTGCCCACGACCAGACCCAACGCTCCGATCAGCACCAAACACATGTTCTTCGCCAGCATGATCTTCTTCTCCCTGGGTCCCACGATCTTCCAGAAAGCGCATATCTGTATGATCGCCGGGAAAGCGAGGCCCAAGCCCGACAGGCAAAACGCGCCGAACAGCGAGATGAAGAGATCCAGCTCCGGTATCGTGATCGCCAGCACGACTGAAATAGATCGGCTAACATGAAATTTTCTCTTTTACCTTTCCCCGCGTCGCAGATACGTATAACATGATTACAAAACATAATTCAAGAAACATATTGTACCTGATATTTGAGATTTTATGTCTTATATTTAAGATCGTCCTAAGTTCATCTTTAGAATCACCGTAGCCAATGAGGCGATTCGCGTAGCATCTGCGGATGAACTAAAGACGATCTTAAAAGACGATCTTATTGATATAAGATTCGATTATGTGAATATATTGGAAGAAATATCGCAGAATATACAATGTAATAACGAGTTTCGCAAGAGAGAGACACGTCGTTGCTAAGAATATCTGCGGCTTGCTTTGAGCTCGAGTCAGGTGACACTCACAGGTGAGCAGAATCACAATAGTCCTGACCACATATTCCCAGACCAGCTTGAAGCGAACCAGCTTGAACTTGTCCATTGCGGGACCGATATACTCATTCCACGCGATGTCGATGGCGACGTAACATTGAATGGGATGAGTGAAGAAGATGGCGATGGCCAGGAGGATCTGCACCGCTTTGCCTAGCATCTCCTGGGTGGGCAGGCTGAGCGTGATGCTGCCGTCGATGTGGCTGCCATATCGTATGTACCCGAAGAATCCCATGGCGGCATACAGTACTATTATGATGCTCATGGAAGCGTTGAGAACGCCGAACGGCTTCATGAAGGATTTCGGTGTCTTCATCTCATTCTCCAACGGCATGATCTGAATGAACCACTCAGAATTGCAATTGTGCAATTTGCAATAGGTAACTCTGTTCTTTTGGGAATATCTTAATCTTCGCCATACTACTCTAGCGTTAATTAAAGGGACTAATTAAATTAAAAGCATTAATTAAACTGAAAGGTTTATTCCATTTATTCCACTACAGATTATGAAATTAAATATCGAAAATGCCGCTGACGGTATTCCTTCAGCGAGTGTCATTCAATATGCAAATTTAGCTTTATTATTTCGTTATTGTAATTTTGAAAAATTTTACGATAAAAATCACTAAAGAATTTTATAGCCGAGGAGTAGATTGACATTTTGCAGTAATTTATTACCCTATAATTTTATACGTGCTATTTATACTTTAGGAACTAAAATGTGCTATTAAAAAATTTCCTAGATTTCTAGCAAAATTTACTGTGCAATTTGCATAGTAAACTAGTCAGTTTGCTATTTTTGACAAGATAGAATGTCATTTATATTTCAGAAATTGAGATATATTATTAAAAAAATTTGTTGTATTTATAACGAAATGCTGTGCAATTTACATGATAAACTAGAAAATTAGCTATTTCTTAGCAAGATGTAACTTACTACAGATCTGCTTCTGCACTACTAGGGCCGTAGCAAAATTGAAAAGAATTTATTTAAGAAAATTATCGAATATTCTCTCCGTGTGCACTGAGAGAAAAGACTGGTAACTATAACAAACTGCATTTAGTTACAGAAATTCATTGAATTCTTAGTAACTAATACTAAATATGATAATAATTACCAAATATTTAATAGATCGGAAGTATGACGTAATTTCATTCACAATAACATCAATTAAATAATTTAGTAATAGTTACTTAATGTTAAATATTTAGTATGAAATATATTACAGTTATGAGCAGATATTTGATAATTGTTATGAAATTGTTATATCCCATGTAATAAAAAATTCAGTAGGTACGAGTTCTATTTTGTTACCAGTATAAAAAATTCATTCATTTGCAACTATTACATCGTTTCAATATCTATTATTACAGATGGTTGGTTGAACCTACCAAAAATTTTGTAACTACTACAAAATCGCTTATTTTGCTCAACTATTCAATAAGTTTTATTTACCAAATATATTCTGGAAGCAAATAAATTTTACTTCTGTCAAATAAATAATTTATTTTACAGAACTAAATTAATTAATAAGTATTGCCATAGCTTTGGCCCGCTATATTTACGTCTACCATTTAGTAATAGTAACCAAATTTTGATAATATTTACTAAATTCTTCTCTCAGTGTATCTGCAAATTTTATGTACTTTTATGTTTCAGCGGATTACTCACCACACCGATAGACTCAAGGGCGAAGAGGACGGTGCCGAAGAAGAGCGGGAAATTCTCGATTGCTCCGACCGACGCACGGCCCTCGAACGTCAACGGCTCCCGGAAGATGTAGTAGAGTATGATGGCGAAGCCAGTGAACATGAGGACATTCGCGAGCGTCGAGAACGGCGCCAGGAATTTCAAATTCCTGATGTAATTGACGAGGATTAAGGGCAACAGGATAATCACCATGTATACCTTCAAATCAATATCGACCCATGTCTCCAGCGCCTGAAAGATAGGAAAGAAAAAGTAATACTCTCTTTGTGTAATTGCTTCCTGTAATCGTGGACAGAGGCAGGAGATGAATTGCACTTGGCGATCACGTCGACCGCGAGTGTCATTCCATCCTTGTCCTTCACTTAAACAGAAATGTAACGATGTCCCGTGTCGATACGATCGCCAAGTGGAACGTATCCAAGGTGCTACGACTCGAGACTCAAGACCAGAAGAGCGACCTCTTTCTAGCTAGTCAAGAGATACGGGCTAGTCGTTTCTCGTCCAGTTTCTAAATAGTTAATGTCTAGTAAATCTTAGCTGGTAAAAACTGGCCGATTTCTGGATAGCGACCAGTTTTTTCTGAAAAGTTTTTCTACTTGGTCATTCTGCCGCGCGGTGCGTGCGACTTCTTCCTTGAATAAAATTACCGGCGATATTCGTCGCGTGACACAATCTATTAACACGTTAAATTGCCGAATTGATTAACACGTTGGTCAGTGGCGACCGTCACATTAAGCTACGCGTAAAGTACAGTATAATTAATAGCGTTGAGAGAATCGACTGTACGACCAACAGAACGCCGACGAAACGAGATGAAAAACGCGATGCGAGTCGAATCGCAATTATTCACCGTACTTTTAGCGATACTATCGTCGTCGAAGCGTTCACGCAATCAATAGGAATCGGCGATTCGACGTCTCGACGATTCGGCCACTTTTCGATGCCGGCGTGGCGATTAACGCCGCCGTCTCGCTCTCCCGCGTAAACAATGTTCTGTTGTGATGTAAGCGCGAACAGGTAAAACAGGTTGTAAAAATCGAAGCAAGCCGGAAGTAGAATGAATAGCTATAAATGGCTCTCAAGCGTAATCCACATTTTGCATAATACGTGCGAGTGTTCCGACGTCGTCTGTAGGACGCGCGTCACGATGCGGTTCATTTACTTTTCGCTAACGATAACGACACAATGTCGCGCGAAAATACAACGACGCCTATCATTCGCGGGATCATAATTGGTGGAGAGCGCGCGGTGATTGTTGACAGTGCATTATCTGTTACCTTCGTGTAGCAATAACGGAGTAAGGCGAGATATTTGGCACGCGCACAATGACGATGCACGCGAGATTGTGATATAACGAGAGTGTTTGTCCGAATGACGTCGTGTGCCACCTACTCTACATACCTGAATCAAAAACGCGGACCATTCTGAATGCGCGTCTATTGGCTGACAATCTCGACAATTTAACGCGACGCGACGCTTTGAAACGATAGAGTTTTTGATCTCGCGACGTTATATAATGAGCGACAGAGTTCACTCGATATTGGCCTTGAGATACAACGAACATCTTTTACGCATCGACACGATTTTCCATGTTTTTCCCATACACAGAAAATTATCATTCTACTTCTGAGAAGAGAGATCACACGATTTATTTTTTTTTTTTTTTCAATGATGGTTATCTACAGCCAAGAATATTCTTTCAATAATAGTCTTTAAATACAGGGTGTTGAAAAAAAAGGGTCACATATTTTGATAGCAGGTAGTATTGATCAAAACAAGAAGAAAAGTTCTAATTAACATGGGTCCTAAGACTAATATCTTCTAAGATACAAGCTATTTTGTTATTTGAGCTCTTTATTATTTTCTTATTAGTCGTGTCATCTTTAGAATGTAATGAACAAAGGAGTAGGGGAGAGTGGGGTACAATGGGGATATCTTTTTTCTAGGTGCCTTAAAAAATAAAAAATTAACAAAGAGAGATAAAGAAACAATTTTTATTTCAATATGAAATGTAATCATTTATCTTCCATGAAAAAACTGAAGTAAAGAAACTGAATGTATGATAACAAAATAAAAACTCTTTTTTTACAAAAAACAAAAAATTTTAATGCTGACTCAGCATTAGAGGAGGTGCTCTATGTGATTGCCATTCACTCTCACGCATGTTTCTCTCTCTTTGTTAATTTTTTATTTTTTAAGGCACAAAATATGTGATCCTTTTTTTTCAACACCCTGTATATAAAAGTCAAAAATTTCAAAAAAGCTCATTATCATGTATTGAAAAGTAGACTTTATCCCCTCTTTTATAAGAAAATATTATATATTTTATAAAAGATTTCTTTCCACATAAAAATATTTATAAAAATACTTGAAAACTTATTTGTGAGATATAAAGTCTATTTTTATGAACAATCGATATATAGTCTATTCTAAAACTATTCTCTATAAGAAAATTCTATAAAAGTATTCATAAAAATACTATATAATTGTATTGGAGAGAAAAAATTGTGTGGATCGACTCTACGTAGTGAGCAAAGCGAATTTTTCTTTTAACTTGATATTCTTGATTGAAATGTCGAACCCTCTAGAATTCAGAATGTATTCTGAACAAATTTAACGCTTATGATGAACTTACGATAGACTCGTGGATTTAGGAACTTATGAAATACTTGAAACAAGTAACAATTACTTGAACACAGTATATATTTTTCTGTATGCACTCGCTGCACACAGGTAAAATTATTTCCGGCGGAAAATAACGAGTAGCCTCTCGTGAAGTATCGCGTTTGCAGATTGAATTACGGCCCGTGATTCAAGCGTTCGCGTTGAAAGCTGGTTTCTTCCGTGCATCTCTCCTTCTCTCGTTCTCTTTTGTAGCCTAACCGAGGAGTTGTATTGAACGTTCGGCGTTGTACGTAATTTATGACAAATTTATGTTAAACAGTACGGCGTGTGTCGCGTAAAAAAAGGGATGAAATCGCTAAAATACTCTAACAAGTCCTTGGACATATAACGAAGTCGCTCAAATCTGTTAATACGTCTAATTACATTGACGACCGCGTGCGGACAAGAAAGAAGCATAATCGACACTTTTGTGTCGTTTGTCGTGCGAAAACGTTTTAACTCGCAATTAAATAGCGCTGTTCTCGAGGCACGCGCACACACGACATACATACCGTGTTTCTTTTTTTTTTCTTCGTCATTGCGGTCTCGGTCATCACCTTCTCTCTCTTTCTCTCTCTCTTTCTCTTTCTCATACGCGTGTCCTCGAACGAGAACTTTATGTTCTGTCATAATGTATCTCCGTTTACGACACGCACAATCATGTAGCACGCATCTGAAAGCATAATGACGCTCCGTTGATATTATTTCCGCTCATCTTCGCATTCATTCGGAATTGCATTGAAAATTGAGTCGCGCACAAGATTGACGAAAGAATCCAGACGGCACAAATGTCCAAAATCGAGTCATAAAACGTCTTTAAGGCAACTTTAAAACATCTTTAAGACAATACTTTATAAACTTATCTTAAAGACAACTTAAAGACGTCTTATGTCCCACTTTTAGACATTGTGCTAAGTGAATCTGGAAGTGTAGAAATTAAGCGCAAAACGCGTTGGGCGAATATTTTAGACTGTTCAACGGGGGTCACTTTTGCACCGCTGAAACCACATTTACTGAAGAGATGCGTCTGTTATTTTTGTCAATAATATTATTGTCAATAATATTTTATTGTTGTCAATAATACAAAAGTGTTGAGTAGAAGCCGACTTAAAAGCTTGTGTATATGCAATATCAGTCGCACTACATATTATTCACAAAAAACGCCCTCTTTTTCTCTCTCTCTCTTCCCGTTAAGGGCATTGATTTCTCTCAACGAGTGTCAATCTTCGAATAATTCCAAATAAACATGAACATGAGTGAGAAAGTTTTACGATACGTGCGTCATTGTATCTCACAGATTCTGTGTCGGTCTGTACAGACGGATAGGAAGCGCGCAGCATTTTTTAATAAATTTTTTAATTAATTAATTAATTTTTTTAATTAATTTGTCTACGAGCAAATTTAGTCGAGTGTGAGGATTATATATTCGTTTGCTCATTTTCTTCATCTATCACAGTCAATTTTGATAAAAAGTGTGTCTGGCCTTAATCTGAATGGACGCCACAGAGAGACATTCTTTCACAATGAGCGAAAAAAAAGAAAGAGAAAAATGAAAGAAGAAAAACAAGTTCTCCCGCAATAAGTGGCTAAATTTCTCACAAATAGTTCAAATAAAAATTCTGTGACTCTGTCGTTTATGTTGATTGAATTCCCATTTTCAAAACATACGCGATATCGCAGTGTTAGCTAATGACTAATCTATTTTAACTAATTTCTCGTATCTGGATAATTTCCGCTATGACTGCAAGACCACTTATTTGAGCGCGCCGCGGGGAACGTTTTTATTTTGATTCCCATCCGATGCAACGGGATTCTATTTTCGTGAACTGTTCGCGCGTATCATCGCGCTGTCGATCTGAATTTCTAATTTTTAATTTCGTAAATATTTAGCTGATTTGGCGTCGTTGTCCGTCGCATCTGATTAACGATAGCCGTTACGTAACGCATAATTTCGCATAACTCTACCCTCGTGTCTTTAGCTACGCTTTGATTCCAAGGGCAAGCGGAAATGGGCGCGTTACCATCGTTTAACGCGTCTCGTTTATCGCCGGCCGATCTAGCCTTCGTCTTACGTAAGATCGGTACAGTGACGACGCGCGATCAATTAAACGCACCCTTGAGAGCTAACGTGTGCCCGCGTCGTGGGACTGAATTGTTTCTTTCGCACGAAGGGTCGATGTGGGTCGGCTTCCAGTGCGAGCCAATTCGCGACAAACGTCCATTTCCCGACGATCCGAAGTGGGATCGTTAATTAACTGCCATGAGCTGTGTATGGAGCGAATATTATATTTACTTTTTTCTCTTTTATAAATTCTTTTTATTTTACTATTTCTCTACGCTGGGAAAAATGTCTAAAAATTAAAAAAAAATATTTTGTCGGATAGATATTAAAAAGACATATTTTCTTAAATTCAAATTTTTTTCGTTCTAATGAAATAATTATTATCATGAAAATCAACAGTTCTAGGAAAATATGTATCTTCTTTGAAGAAACTTTTTTCTCAGTACGTAAAATTATGTACATTAACAAGTAAATATGTTATTAAAACCCAACGAATAAATATTTTCTTACTTTTTAGATATTTTTTCTGCGTGCAGGAATAGACTGTCGCGAAATGTAAGGATAATTAATCACAGCTGGATGTCAGTCTACTCCTACAAGATCCTATAGCGATTCTTACTAGGAAATTCTCTCCGTGTAGACACCAGTTAATTGTCTCCGTTCGAGTGGAAGATGCATATTTGCGTTCTCGAGGAAAGGCGCGCTAACATTGGCGTGCACGTGTACAGTGCGAGAAATAGAAAGCGTAACTCTAGCGTGACTCAAGTGCGATCCACCTTGAGAAGTCGTCCATTTAGGGAATCGTTGTCCCTAATTCTCATTTTGTCTCGTGAGCGACGATATGACAATCCCCGCTTCGCGATTCACTCGATCTTTTTATCTCCTTTAGTATAAGAGATCGTCGGAAAATTGTACGAGGCACGAACAAGCGAGTTCGTCATTTGTTGCATAAATAAACGACGTGTTGCTTATGACAAATGATAGCGCAAATGACGAAACACTCGATAATAGTAGTTTTGACTGTAATTTATTACACTTGACAAGATTGTGGCGATAAACAACAGTTGTGAAAAAAAATATAATTATGGAAACACGTAATGTGAAAACGAGTATTGTGAACAACTCGATTCAAAATGTTGAAGCGAAATGCATCTTCTCCATGAAATTCCCAGCAAATTTCGAACACATGAAAATCCAAGGCGGAAATGGTATTTTAACGTCGCGATGCGTCGTCGGGATCTTGGGATCTCACTTAAGACCGTTTATCAGCGAGCCAGTCACCGGGATTGTTACGTAACGCGCATTAAACCGTATCAATGCTAGAGCAATAACCCACCGCGGAGACTTCCGGATGGGAATAATTCGTCAGACGCATTTACGACAGCCGCGATTACGCGCGAGCGTGCGAGCGATTCATAACGCGGCTCCATAAAAGCCAGATTAACCGACTCTTCGTCCTCCTCTTCTTCTTCGCAAGTCTTTCAAATAATTGCAATTACCAGCAATATATGCAGCATTATCAAAGTCCCTCAATCGTTCACGAGGCTTTCCTCGCGCGAACGTCGCGTTTGACGATGACAAAAAGTTATCTTTATCGTAATTCCCTCTCCACCTAACCAATAACTTGGAGCAATTATCGACTAACGCTTCGACATTTTTCCACGTTCCTTTACATAATTATTACGCTCGCCGTGAACAACAGAAGAAAGAGACAGAACGCGCGTGCGACGTTATATAAACCGTTTGTGTGTGTTTGGACATCTTCCTTCTTCTCGTCCCTTTCAAACTTTCCACTCTCCGTGGAAAAAGGAAAAAGAGAAGCTCTCCCGCTGGCGATATCTGCCTGATATCTGTCAACAGACGTGCTCGAGGAAATTTCGCGTTATCACGGTATTTATTCGACTCTGAGTTAATGCACAAACTTAGACAACATAATGTCCAAAATCGGGACATAAGACGTCTTAAAAATAGTTTTTAAGACGCCTTAAAGACATTTATACGTAGAGTAAGCGAACCTATTTCGGAACAGCACCTATTTCGAAATACTTTAATTTTTTTCCTATATTAGCCGTCAAATAATATCAAATTTTCATGTTAGTAACAAAGAACATGTTCTTTATGTGCATTAATCTCCTCAGAATCGAATAAACACCACGATAACGCGAAATTTCCTCGAGTACGCCCGTTGACAGATATCAGGCAGATATCGCCAACGGGAGAGCTTCTCTTTTTCCTTTTTCCGCGGAGAGTGGAAAGTTTGAAAGGGACGAGAAGAAGGAAAATGTCCAGAACATGTTCTTTGTTACTAACATGAAAATTTGATATTATTTGACGGCTAATACAGGAAAAAAATTAAAGTGTTTCGAAATAGGTTCGCTTACTCTAAATCGTCTGAAAGACATCTTAAAGATGTCTTTAAAATGTCTTTAAGATGTCTTTAAGATGATCTTTAAGACGTATATTATGTTGTCCGGGAACTTTGTGCGCAACATACGGCTCCGTTCACTCCGCATCCGACCCTGAGAAACCCAGATTCGAACGGACGATTGACAAGCAGCAACGCGATCGGCTTTACGTGAACACACCGACGACGTTGCATCCACATATGCGCGCACGCACGCACACACACGCACGCTCTCTACATACTTGCCGTAATAACATATGTCGTAACGATAGTTAACTATCTATTACATTGCGTACTACGCAACGCCTTCCCAATGCTCGGCTTAAGCCGACGTCCACATAAGACCTAGCGCCGTTTTCTGTTGCAACGCTGTGTAGTCTCGTGGTACATTTCACATGCTACATTTCGCACACATTGTCCGCATGAAGGAATCAGTGCCGTTGCAAGTGAGAACGTACGAAAGTCCTTTCTTCCCGTTCTTTGTTTTACGCATATTCTTACGAGGCGAGTCAAGGTGGCACTAAATAAAAACTGATCTTGCAGTCATAACGAATATTATTTAACTGCACTGTTGGAAAAGTTAATTAAAAATAATAGCATTTTTGTAAGTAAATTTAAGAATTTGATATTAAAATTAATAATAGTGAAGATTTTCACAACATTAAGATTATTAGTTATAAATTAGAGAGTTATAATATTTCTTATTTCTCATGAAATCTAATCTTTTCTATCTTATATTCTATGGTTTCTTATTAAATTATATATTAAATTGTGAAACATCGTAACACGTTATGATATGTTAGAATAATTTTTCTAATATATCATAAATACGAAGCTGTTTCGGTCACGTAGCCTGAAAGATTCAGCTTGTAAAGCATCGTGGCCTTTATCGAAATTTCAACGGAGTTATCCAGAAGTCTCTTAATCAATTCTAATTATGATTTTTCCTAACTATATCTTATTAAATATGATATTAATTTTACTATTACTTTTTTATAACATAGTTATGTAAAAAAAACTTTATATTCCAGTCATTAAATTTAATACGAAGTTTTCTAACAATGTAAGAGAAATTGGCTGGGGAGGATAGTTGACTGGATAACACTGCGATATCGCGTATGTTTCGTTTTAACCATATAGATGACAGATACATTTGATAGGAATTTCTGTCTGAGCCATCTGTGAAATTTAGTAAGAAAATCTCTCTGTCCATCTGGATTAAAGTCGCACTTCTCATAAAAAGAAACTGTGCTAGATAAAGGAGACTAGCAGCGAGAGACAAACGGATATGTAGTCCTAATACTCACGTAAATTGAATAATTTTAGCCGATCGTTGAAATCGCTGTTGATTTTTCCGCATACTCAACTGAGAAACACGTTTCGATAAAAAGCACGAATTTATGTCTCGAGACCACGCGGTTTCTTTCGCAGGATTACTCCAATCGTGCAATTAGGTGGATCTACCTTAAAGCGTGACGGCAGTTTCACAAGCGAGTGCTCGAATTAGTTCCGTGACGAATCGGAGAAAAGATTCTGTTGTACATTGTGAAAAAAATATTTATGAAATAATTGAAAGTCAGTATTTATTTGGTGGCTACTGACAGCATATTTATGCAAACATGAAATATTTCTCCAACATGAGAAAGTATATATTTTCGAGAAACCTTCAGAAAATCTTAGCTTTTTATGAAAGCACTTGTTTATTTAAATAAGAGCACGGATCCTCGTGTGAACAACACCTAAGTCGACGTTTTTTTCGCGACTTGCAGGCGGTTCTTACTCCGCTCGATCTTGTACGCGTGATAAGACTCCGTTCGCCCGCGCGCAATCGCGAGTCTCGTGTGACCGCGGTGAGACAGTGAAAATCCCGTGATAAATCATGCCGCGCTGAGATCCGAGACGCTGAATAGGAATATGGGACAAATAAGGTCGGCTAACGAGCACTCCGTGTGAATTCGCACGCAATTTCCGTAATCCGCGGCGCGACACACCTCTTATCTTGACTATATCGCAAACTGCCGAGTCTCGTACGCTTCATCGGAGAAAGAGGACAAAACGAGCGAGAAACATCATCCTCCTCGTCGCAGAAGGTGGACTCGCGCGTGGGTGAGAGCGATGATGGCGATTGTATCGTCGAAAATGTCGATGACCGGCCGCCTGCGCCGGCCGCAATCACCTTGACTGAGCCGCGCGCGCATTAATTACACGGTGACTGTCCGCTCGCGAATTCCCGCGGCGTATTTCCCTGACCTAGATTGCTCCCTTTTGCTACCTACGTGGTATACTCTAATGTCGCTACATACACGCGGCGCGTGTACGCGATGTACGCGGATTGAGCGCGGGCGCGAGAAACCCTCCAAGTCGCACATTTCAACCGGGAGTACGGCAAAGATCGCGATAAAGGTCCGTTGACTCGCGCCGTTGACGTTCGCTCATGACGTATGCCACGAGTTGAAAGTGGCAGGTACGCCGCGGACTACTCACCAGGTGCAGATTGCTGGCGATGAACACTATATAGACGCAGCAAGTGCCCATCTGATATATCAGTAGGAAGACGTTCACTATGTGACTGTGAACAGAGAAGGTCGGCGATCATTAGGAATCATTGATTCGCGAGACACTTGGACGAAATGTGATCTCAGCCTTAGCGATATCCTCTTGCATTGGCCTCGCGAGGATCCTCTGGGACCCAGAGATTTCAACACCCAAAGACTTTCAGTCGTTACACACAGAGAAATACGTGCTGCAGTAAGGCATGGAAAATGGAAATAATTATTTCGCTTACTCCCTTACTCCCGCTCCTTACTTCAGCTCTTACTACTTAATTCAGGCTTACTCCATGTGATGTATACGGGCAAACTTTTATTGAAGTAAGGGAGTAAGCGAAATAATTATTTCCATTTCGTCTTACTCCTACTCCTTACTACATCTATTGTAAGATCGGGCCTAAATGCTACTTGACTCAGGTTTTTACATCCGCGAATCTATTACAAGCTCATCGAAGCATCGAATTTATTCAAAACATGTTCTGAGTCCTAGTAAGCTTAGCATTTCAATCAAGAATACTAAATTAAACGAAAAATTCGGTTTGTCCAACGTGTAAAGTGGGGAACTAACTTCTTCTTTGATAAAGTTTTATAATAATTTTTTTGGAGAGCTAAACTCTCCCTTTGGGTGTATATATGATAATGAGTTTTTCTCAAATTTGTGACGAATAATATTTTAAAACTAACTTTTTTCCTTTCGAATCAAGAGGAATAGCTTTACTTGAAACAGATTCTCTTGCCAGAAGAAATTTTTGTCAATAACAAGATTTATAGTATAGACATGAAGCAAAATCTTACTAACTTTAGGAATGCTCAGAACATTTTTCTCTTAGTTTTAAAAAAATCCTCGGAACATTTTTCTCTTAGTTTTAGAAAAATCCTCTTGAAGCTATATATAAGAGGATTCCGTTAACGAATGAGATTATATTTTTTTGGTCGCGATGAGAGCCAATACAACTTGATCGAGTAATTTATGTAGCTTGATTAGAAGCTCTAATTAAAAAAGCGACGATTTAGCACAAATTCTCCCTTCGCATGAACGAGCGAGCGAGTCACCATTATTACTGTCGCGGTCGATTCCGCGAATACGCGTCCCCGTTATGTATCAGTGAAAGTATCGCGCCGACGACGCGCAATTAACGACGCTTGTAATCGCGAATACAAAGTACTCACCTGGAGGCTCTGGAGAACGGCCTGAGCCACATCGGTCCTTCCTCCAGCGCGACTTCCGCAGTCGCCGGATACGACATGGACGGTATCTGCCGCCTCTTGCACAGCTCGTATTCCGACCGCACGAGGATTCGCATGCAGTACGTACAAAACACTCCTATGACGAACGTGGCGATCAGGCCGACGATGTAGCCCGCGTTAAAAAAGGCCCTCGGCATCGCGAGGATCCCTGTGCCGAGACTGCCCTTCAACAGGTGCAGCATCGTCTCCGCGTCGCTGAAAAAAAGCCGGTTGACCAATCGTTGCGGAGAAATCGGAAATTCGCGGCTAGATTTGAATAATTATAAGGCAGATTGCGAAGCGACCCAGGTAGACTTTCACGATTATTTCATGATGAGAAAAAAAATATATACAGGTTGTCCCGTATCACCTTCACAATCTCTCGTGAGGACGTAGAGCGGATTGGATGAACGCAAAAGTCCTATACCGTTTTGCGATATTCTCAATAATAATCGAGATATTAATTAAAAAAGATTGGTGAATGACAATGCGCGATATGGTAGAGGAGCTGCAATTGCGCCGTCTACCGTTGTATACTTGTACATTAAGTCAAGCTGAACAAAAAAGTCCTCTACCATTTTGCAAATAACAACATAGGTTTTTAGATATTGATTAAAGAAAATTTATGCATTATAGTACACAATCATGTAACAATTTTCTTTGATTAATATCTAAAAATCTATGTTGTTATTTGCAAAATGGTAGAAGACTTTTTTGTTCAGTTTGACTTAATGTACAAGTATAGATGGCGCAATTGCAGCTCATCTACCATATCGCGCATTATCATTCACCAATCTTTTTTAATTAATATCTCAACTATTATTGAGAATATCGCAAAACGGTATGGGACTTTTGTGTTCATCTCAATCCGCTCTACGTTCTCACGAGAGTTTGTGAAGATGATACGGGATATCCTGTATATATGTACACTATAAAAACTGATGTGTTAAATTTAACACGCTTCATGTATCTCAAATCATCCACTCTCATTTATGTGTAAATTTAACACAAAACGAATGTGTTAAAAAGTAACACGCATAATATGGGAAAAATTATCACGAGAATTTAACTCTTGAATATCGTTAGGAATCACAGGTTGTGTTAAATTGACATATTTAATATGTCATACATAGATTATGTCAATTTAATATTCTCATTTCATCAAAACCGTAGATTAATACTTTTCCCAGATGTTAAAGTAACGTTTTATTTTAGTTAATTTAATATTATACATATGTCAATTTAATACAAACTGTGATTCCTGCCGGTATTCAAGTGTTAAATTCTTAATTTCCTAATTTTTTACATATTATGCGTGTTACTTTTTATTACATTTGTTTTGTGTTAAATTTACACATAAATGAGTGGATGATTTGGGACACATAAATTTAACACATCAGTTTTTATATTGTATCAGTTTTTATATTGTGTAATCATGTGTGTATGTAATCGTGTGTGTGTGTGTGTGTGTGTGACCTTTTTAATAATTCATATACGCGGCAATTGTACTTTATAATTTGATTTAATTTAATTTGATTTAATTGCATCTCGATAATTCACACGATTCAATAGTTGCGACAGTCAGGCGCGCGGAAAATTCTTTGGATTTTCACCAGCAAGACGAATTGTCCGACCGGAGGTTGGACGTAGGAAATTACGCTAATTAAGACGTTTAGCGCGAAACGTGCGCTGCATGATCAAGTTTCGCACGCGAAGAAAGTGCCGCGCGTTACGTCGTGCTTCTGGTCGTCTCGAATCGCGCATTAAAGCCTTCTGTTTCAGTCAGTTGTTCGGGTTTGCTCGCAGATTGGATTCTTCCCCGATAAATCACGGCTAAACGATTGCATTAAACAAAAACGAGATAACGCATTTGCGCGTTGTAAACATCAATCGAGAGATTTAAACTTCACTTTTCGAGTACATGTTAAACAAATTATTATTATCGTAGGAATCGGGAACGATTATTATTATCGTAAGTTATCGGGAACGATAAAAAAGAATAAAAAGCACGCTAATATTGATATCGCCGCGACCGTAAACTTATTTTCTTTTGACGTAGGAATTTATAATAGCAGACGACGTACCGATGTCTCGAGTGTTCTATTATTTTTATACGCAATTACCACACTTCTTCTTGTCGGAAAAATTATTTAATTTTTATCTTTAAGTTATTAAGATACCAACAAATTTAATATAGCCGATCTATATATAATTACTGTATACATACGGCGAATTAATACGAATCACATATATCGACAGGGCACTTACGTAGTCGGATGCTCCACCACTCTGTAATTATAGGGATCATAATCGGTGTTCTGCTCGTGCGCGCTTTTTTTCTTTTCCTCCATCTCCAGAATGTAGGAACGTTTCGCGTCGTGACTGCGAAAATTTATTATGCTTGTTAGACGAATATCAATTTCTAAAAGAGTCGGACGCTTAAGTTTTTAAAAATACTGAGAACTGTTATATAAGTGACGAGGCAAATTTGTCACTGAGAGAGAAATGTTTGTATTATTTGTAACTGTAATCATACAGAAAAATTATTATAAATTATGATCAAAATAATCATCTCATAGTCAATTGTAATATAATTGTTAATGATACTATATGCATGCGTGATATTATATGCATGCTACTATTTTCGTGTTGGAATATAAACTAAAAATATAGTTGGAGTCCAATTGGGATCAACTGGACTTAAATCATATTTTTTTATTGTTTCAACACGAAGATAGTAGTATTAGAAAACGTATAAGAATATTATCACTAAAAGTATAGTGTAATTAACTAAAAAATTGTTGTCTTAATAATTTATAATAATTATTATTCTATATGAGATCATAGTTACAAATATCAAGCGTATTTCTCTCAATGTTTAAACGTCCGTTTCAAAATTGAATTACATGTCTCACTTGACTTCTCATTCAGATATGCGATAATATCGTCTTAGATGTTAGATAATTTTTAATAAGTACATCATATTTGATTAAATCAAAACTGTCAACTATTTTTGATATATTTACAAAACAAACTAAATGTATCGAAATGTACTCACTCATTTTGGTATCCTTTGGTCGATACTCTTCTCGAGTCCTGGAGAACATCCTGCGAGAATAAAAGAAAAGTTATACAAGGCAATAAAAGACAGACGATGCAAGGTAAAAGTATTAATTTCCGAACATGTATCTAATCGTGGACATTTTTATCGTTTTGATTTTTAAATGCGAATATTTAAACTTAGAATGTATGCATACATATTTTACGTTGAAACTTTAAATATTCGTATTTAAAGATAAAAAATAAAAAGTCCAGGATTACATGTTCAAGATCCAGACACATATCCGACAATTTGTACTTTTACTTTATGTAAGACATTTCATACGAGACTTGATTCTCATACTGAGAGAAATTCTGATCGGTTGATCTAACTAAAATTACAATTATTTTTAACCCCAATCATATTTTTTGTAGTAACATGCATATATATGAGCATTATTATTACCA